ATCGGCAGTCGTCGACCGCTCATCTGGAACGATGCAGCTGACCGTGCCTTCGAAGACGCCCGTCGCAGCCTCGCGACAGCTACGGAGACAGCCTTCCTCTCGCCATCCGCCCCGCTTCGTCTCGTCACTGACGCCGCAAACTCGGCCGTCGGCGCTGCGTTGCTGCAGCTCGTCGACGAAGTGTGGCGACCCATCGGTTTCTTCTCCCAGACGCTGTCCTCAACCCAGGCTCGCTACAGCACATACGATCGGGAGCTCCTGGCCGTCTTCCTCGCTGTGCATCACTTCAGGCGAATCCTGGAGGGTCGTCCGTTCACAGTGGTGACGGATCATCGGCTGCTCATCTACGCAGCCCGCTGGCCCTCGGATAAGACCTCTCCTCGTCAACAACAGCAGCTCGACTTCCTGCTTCAATTCGACGTCAACTTCGAGCACATCAGCGGCCCAGACAACGTCGTTGCCGACGCCCTCTCCCGGACTTTGGAAGATGCTCCCGTCCCGGATCGGCCTTCGGACAACTCGTCGCCTCCAGCGGTGGCTCCAGTCTGCGCCACAGTCAGCCTGCCTTCAGCGCTCAGTCTCGAGGCCATCGCAGATGCACAAGCTCGCGACGACAAGCTCCCATCGCTCGCAGCACGCACCTCCCTCAACATCCAACGCCTCATCCTCGAAGGAATCAAGGTGGCCTGCGATTCACACGGCGGTCGAGTTCGGCCTTACTTGCCTCGGACTCTTCGGCAAATGCCTTTGAGGCTATTCACGGTCTCGCCCACCCCGGTGTCCGTGCCACGGTACGTGACATCTCGCAGCAGTTCGTCTGGCCCGGTCTTCGCAAGGACGTCACCGTCTGGGCACGCGCCTGTCTTCCGTGCCAGCGCTCGAAAGTTTCCAGGCACAATCGTGCCGCGCTCTTCCGCTTCCAAGCTACGGAGAGCCGCTTCGAGCATGTTCACGTCGACATCATCACGCTGCCACAGGTAAAAAATTACCGCTATTGCCTGACTATAATCGACCGTTTTACCAGATGGCCAGCAGCTGTTCCGCTCGAGGACATATGGGCAGAGACCGTCGCTAAGGCTTTCACGTCGGCATGGATCGCTGACAAAGGATGTCCGCTCACAATCACATCCGACCAGGGCACTCAGTTCGAGTCTTCTCTCTTTGCTGCGCTTGCTCAAGCCTCGGGAACCACGAAGATCAGGACGACGCCTCACCACCCGCAAGCTAACGGCATGATCGAGAGATTTCACCGCACGCTCAAATCGGCGCTTATGTGCGCCCCGGCTCCTTGGCCTGACGCACTTCCACTCGTGCTTCTCGGCCTTCGGAACGCCTTCAAAGAGGACCTTCAGGCTTCGCCAGCGGAGATGGTTTTCGGCACGCCGCTGAGGATCCCCGGCGCTTTCTTCGCGCCGTGCAGCTCGCCTGTCGATCACACCTCTTTCATCGGCCGTCTTCGGTCCCTCATGGGAGCCCTGAGTGCCACGCCGGCTTCTGACCACTCTCGACGTCGTTCCTTTTTCTTCAGAGACTTGCGGACATGTACGCATGTCTTTCAACGAGTGGACACTGTCAGAAGACCGCTAGAACAGCCTTACAGCGGACCTCATCGGGTCCTTCGCCACATTAATGACAAGGTCTACGTCATCGAGGTCAACGGCTCGGAACGGACTGTCTCAACGGACGCCTTAAAACCGACGTACCTCGACACATTCGACGCGCCAGCGCAGACATCGGCTTCATCAGACTTCGTCGTCGTCTTCTCGTCCTACGGCTGCTCCCGGACCTCCACCTACGGTGCAGACCTCGCCTTCGACCTCCAGACCTGTCATCGGCTCGCCACCAGCATCTTCAACCGCCGCCACTCGGTCACCTCCTGCGACCTCCAGCAACGGACAACTTCGGAAGCGTCATCGACCGATCATCCTCCGGAGATCCTAGTCTTCCGTTCGCCTCCGGCGTCCGGTCCAGAGGGGGGAGTGACTGTGGCGTCCCGCACCTCCTCGGTGCTGACACCTCTCGGTCGATTCGTCAAGTTGCGGCGCTTCTCACCAGAACGGTGCTGACACCTTCCTGTACGTCGGCACCAACCTTCGCAGGTCCCTAGCAGCCGCCGGAAATGCGCGCGTCCGGTGGTGGCAATATCTGTTCGGCCATGCAGCCGGTCCAGGAAGTGGCAGCGCCGGATTGGCCGAAGCTTGTGGCGTGATTTCGACCCGAGGTTCTGATTAGCGGATCAACATGGCGTGATCTCGGCGCGTTGTCCTCCGCGTCCCGATGATCTAGGATTTAGCGAAAGCTGAATCGATTTCGGTCATTCTTGTGCGGTTTATCATTCAGAAAAGTCGATATTTTCACACGTTCGTGAATTCCAATATCTTGCCTTACCGTTGAATTTCTGTGTCTCATCGATCTCGTGTGCTTTTTCGCCATTTTCTTAGTCTTTTCTGTTTTCTGTGTGGATCACTAATAAAAAAAAAAGGAAGTTTCCACTGGTCGTAGGCCAGCGTTGGTGATTGGTCAATCACAGTGGTCAGTAACTAGCTACGCAGCGCGGTCTTTGGCAGATAACATCTCAACTTCCACAAAGGCATTACAGTATTTTGAAATTTCAAAACAATTTGTAGGAATTTATACAATTTTGATAAATATAATTATCTACTATATATATGTGGGACGAACGCCTCCATGCCAAACTTGTTAAGCATTCGTGGAAGGGAACTGGTCGGTGGGCCCTGGATAGCTCAATTGGTTAAAGAGCAGTCGCCCGGATAGCGAAAGATCCGTGGTTCGAGTCCCGGTCCAGTCAGTCCAGCGGTCCAGTTTTTTTTCACGAATCTTACATATATATATATATATTATATTAATAATAATAATAATGATAAGACAAATATATTAAACAATTAAAAAATAGATTTATTTTAAGATATTTTTATTTCTCAATGTGATACATGGTCATAGTTTTACTCGAACTGAGATTTGTTTGCTTAAAATTTTGTAAATTTTTGCGATTATACCTACGCGATAGTATAAGGTATTTACGGTCTTGCGTAGTTCTTGTTGAACTTTTGCAGTAATTAAGAATACACTGTCGAACCACGAACGTTTTTTTATTATTTGTTTTTAAACTTACTTTTCAGAAAAAAATACAAAAAAATTTAAAAATTTTAAAATTATAAAATACATGAAATTTGTGCATTTTTTGAGAAAAACCGTTATTTTCTCGAAGTTCGCCATTTTTCATTTTTTTTATTTTCTAGAAAAAAACTTTGTCTAAATCTGCGATTATCCCTTCCAGTCCCAGAGAAAGCTGAGTTAGTTTCCTATTTTTTTTATTTAATTGAAAAAAAAAATTTTAATTTTCAAAATTTGTAATTTATTTTTTTTTTAATTAAATTAATGCAATTAAATAATTTTACAATATTAAATACTTAATTTATAGTCGCAAAATACAAAGTTATTAAAAAAAAAAAGCATTTCAACCTTTCGTTTTTTGCTGTAAGAATATGATGGAGTTATTACGTCATTTTTAAGTCAGAACATATGACTTTATATTGAGGTCATAAATAAAGTCACCATTACGTCATGTCTACGAAAAAATTTGATGATCACTGYATGACCTATGTATGACATCATTTTAAGGTCTTGTGTTCACTGGGTAACTTATACTAGTCGAAAAGTTGTTAAGCGAGAATTCCTTATATAGGAAATGCGTTGCTAAACATTTTTATACTATATGTTGTTTCGAGGCTTTGGAAAGAATTTTACCTGAATTATCAAATTTTTGCAAATGTATTAATGATTTTCTAACCATGATGTCTTCTAAATCGTTTGAAATATGGGAGAAACAGACACACCAATTTATTCTTCTTCAACTTTTTGAGATAGTTAAATTTTATGATTTATCGGATGAAGCAGGAAGAAATAATTTAAGGGAATTACTGACAAACCATTGCTCTGAAAATATAATTGAATGCGTTGTTAAATATTTCGAGAATATGGTACCTGATGTGAATAAAAGACTTGATCTTTTAGAAAATACAATTAGTAAACTCAGAACGCCAACGAAAGATTCTACGGAAATTGTACCAGAAGTATCTGCCGAAGAAACACATCAAAATAATATGGAAGTATGTACTTACTAGAACTCCATCAGATCTTTAAATTTAGTTTACTATGTTATCATCATATTGAATTTTGTTGATTTATTCAGAAAGCGAAATTACGAGTACAAATCTTAGACCTTCAAGAAGAAGAATATAAAACTATACAAAATAAAGAATATTTGAAAGCTGAGCAAATAAAGGAACAACGAAATAAAATAGATCAAGATTTAATGAAATTGAATGAGAAACCAGAACCTTGTATTTCGATAAATGACGATGATATCGAAGAAGAAAAAAACGATTCCGAAACGATGATTAAATGTTTCACCATCATGTGCTCTATGATGAGAGTTAAATCGATCAAAACTTTACTGCCTACTCTTAGATGCCTTCTGAATATAGCCATTTCAAGTTTGGATGTAAGTTATTTCATTTTATACATTATTCTCAATACATATTTTATTATTTTTTTTGTAATAATATATTTATATTTAGCATCCAGACGATAAGGTCCATTTATTAGCATTGGAAGCTTTGGGAATTTTTTGCATATTAGATAAGGAAATAGCTAGAAAACATATCTTTACATTTTTATTACAATTTTCATTGGAACAAGATAAACAAGACATTTGGATTATCACTTTAAAAGCTCTTTTCGATCTTTTCACACGTTACGGAGTTGACTTTTTTGATATCAAAAAAGTTGAGAACGATGATAGTGCTAATCAATCAAATAAACCTAATAAAAATATTAAGTTATTTGGTCGAGAAGAAGAAGAAGAAGTTCTTACTGTTTGTACCACACATACACAATCAGTCTATTAATCAAATACAAAATCCTGATATAATGAAAATTTTAATCGGATTAATGAATAACGCGGTAAGAATTATTTAATATTTCATGTATAATATATTTACTTTCCTATAATGTGAAATGTACTAAATTCTTGTTAATAATCGTTACAGAATCAAGATTTAAGAAATGTCGCAACGGAGGGACTCTGTAAATTAATTCTAAATTTATGGATAAGCAATTGCTCCTTTTTGTTGTCGCGTATAATAGTAATGTATTTTAATCCAACTAACTCTGACTTTAAAAATCATTTCCAACGCGCCCGATATTAGTCCTCTTCAAGAAATAAATCTTTACGAAGTAGCTGTTTTTATTTTGAAATTAATTAGTTATAGAGGTGACAGATTCAACATGAATACATATTGTATACATAATAATTTGGCATTTGCTATACTTGCTGAAATTCTTAATTTGGATAGTAAAATTAATAAGGATATCCTCATTAAGTGCTTAAAGCACTTAGATATACAAGTAGATGACGAATTATCACAGAAGAATTTAAAAGATGGTATCGAGAAAGTTTTATTGTTGGTAAGCGATTTTCTTCATTTTTTTAAACAAAATGTCATTTATTGTAAAACCGCAAATGGAGGAAACAGAAAATGATGATTCAGATAATGAAGAGTTTGAATGAAATTATTTATCATTTCAAATTAACAAAGTATCATTATTTGTAGAAATCTTTAATAAGTTTTTATTCTTTATATATATATATATATATAAATATATAATATAAAAATATATAATATATAATATAATAAAAATGTGTGTATTAGATTTAGATATATCTGGTAATTTATTTTTTATTACTCATGCGGGGAAAGTACTATCTTTTCGGTCGCTATAGGGGTCGGAAAGACGCTGTTTACCTACTTTACAATAACAACACGCATTTTGAGTAAAATAAATGTCAATTTGAGTGCGACAAGTTTACTTACTTACTACGTACTACGATCCGTGTACGATCCGTGTACGATCCGTATATGGTCCGGTGTTCCATCCCCCTGTGGACCGCCGTTTTCATCGTTTTCATGATAGGATTTTGAACTTAATGACTGAAAAAAAAAAGAACTGCATCAACTTTGAAAAAGTTGGAACTTGGATACTTTTTCCACATTTTGAAAATTTTGTTTGAGAAATAGTTGGATTTTTTTCGAATTTCAAATTTTCCCGGGGCGTACGATAATTTTCTTGCCGCGTACGATAATTTTACGCCCCTTTGTCGATCAAACGAATTAAAGTCTCTGGGATCACTGTTTAGAGGTAAGGATAATAATTATATTAATACGAAGTTGATCTATATTATCAATTAAAGAATTATATGTAATTATAAACAAGAAACTTTACGGTGTATATTAATTTTTAAAATTTTTTTTTGGTCAAAAACGCTTTTTATAACAGAGTTCCAATAGATCCAGGTCTTGATAAATGAAAGTGGCTGAAGCTTTAAACGCAGAAACAAGAAAATCATGAATCAACTTCCATCATTCGTGCCAAAAATTTCCTGACGTTTGGCATAAATTTTCATCCAAAAATTTACCCGAATCTTTTAATGAAGGATCCATTAACGATTTTTTGATTTCATCGTATATTGTAGAAAAAGAGGACTGTAATTCTAGTGATGAAGAAAATGAGACGAGTATTATAGATTACAGCACAACTAAGCCATTGAAAAGAGGGAAGCTATACGTTGATAGTAACCATGTCACAGAAATCTTTGATAGCGTAATTTCTCAAAATATTTATTGTTTAAAAAATAAAATGAAAGCTTCCTACAAAGTAAAAAATAATTATTCGGTGCAAGTTATGATTAATTTTGACAGCGGTAAAATTATGCGAGGAACATGCAAATGTAAAGCTTCAAGCTTAGGACGCTGTGCACATGTTGCTGCTCTTTTACATATATTGTTAATACAAAGCAAAGAAGCTTTTAAAGAAAATGTAGCTTGCACAAGTCAGCTTTGTGCTTGGAATCAAGGATCCAAGAAAAAAGAAGCACACAAAGTTGACCACCAGTATAGAATCACGAATAATAATAATCATGATATTAATAATAATAAAGGCAAAAACAGTAGATCTCGGAATTTTTTAAATGTAGAACCAGATGTGGGAAAAACATTAAATTTTGTACATGAATTGCAAATATTTAATCAATTAAAAAATACTCCCGCGAGTATATGGGAACTAATGATTACCCCTCCTTACGAAAATTATAAACTAAATCTAAAACGAAAAAGTATTTTACGTAGCCTAGTATACCAATTAACTGCTTCTCTGTACAGTGATCAAGAAGAACCGCGTGATTTAACAAGTGGAAATCAATCGGATTGTGATAAATGGTAGCAATATAGAAAAATTCTAATTACAGCGTCAAAAATAAAATATTTAAACGTGAAGAAAAATGAGGAACAGATCTTTAACTGGATTAAATATCACTTGTGAGTGGATAAAAATGTTGATAGTTTAGCATTGGCATATGGTCGCGATCATGAAGAAATAGCACGGAATACATATACAAATTTTATGTCGCAGAATTTTGGGTTTAAAGTCACTCGCAGCTGCTTATGGGTAAATCCAAAATATCCAGGAATAGGATCTTCCCCAGATGGACTTGTTACAGATGTACCTACCAAATCATATGGTTTGCTGGAAATTAGTCCAAAGGTTTTAGAAAATATTGAACCAACAGATATACATACACTAACACCTCAACAAAGAAGTTCGTTCTGTTATATCTTCCAAACGCCGAAGTCAATGAAATTGAAAAGAAATCATCAGTATTATTATCAAATTCAGACGCAGATGGCAATAACCGGAAGACAATGGTATGATTTTATGATATGGACCTCGAAAGGTTTTCATGTAGAACGAATTAAATACAATCCAAATTTTATAGAACCAGTATTGAATAATATAAGTATTTTCCATCAAAACATTTTGACGCTAGAGTATTTCGAGATGTGTATTCTTCGAGATTTAGCGCCATTTGATTTATCTCTAAGCCTAAACTAAAGAAAAAATTAATTATTTTACAATAATTATAGGTGACAGTAATTTTTATATTTCAACGACACTGTCATTCGTATTATTTTAAGTGATTTATATTATTTATTTTGTTTAAATGATTTTAAATATTTATTTTGTTGTATCACTTTTGAGTGATTTATATGATTGTTATTATATTAAAAGTAAATATATTTTTATATAAGTAAAGCTTTAAGTAATAGGTACTAAAAATAATATGCAATATTACTTAGAAGACGGTATAATTGTTACAAAAAAGATACAAAATTTAAAACACTTAAATATAAATATATTGATGTTAACTGAGAAGTGTACATTATTTACAATTGGTATTGGTAAGATAAACTCTTAATTTTTTAGCAGGTTATTATTGAATCAACACAATTTTCACGTCTTCCGTTTTAAATTATTTTCTCAAGTAAGCACAGACTATTTAATCAATAACAATCGGTGACTGGAAATTAACTAAGCAAGCACATACAAAAAGACTTTGAGACATCAGTGAACGTACACTTAAAGGTAGAACTTTCTGAAGGAGTCGAAACTGTTTAATTCTTCCAATAACATGCTCAATGTAGATACGTTGTTTTGCAATCAGTTTTGTCTCCATTTCTTCTTGAGGTGATCTTTCCCTACCATTTAAAAATGGTGGTATATTTAAGTAAGCTTGCTTCGATTCAACTATATTATGAACAGTGAATCCTCTATCTGCTAACACTAAATCTCTAGGTTCTAGAAAATCACAAATATTTGATTTAATAAATATTTCACGATCTGATATACTTCCTTCGAATAAATCTGATACAAAGCATACATCTCCATTAGAAGTACATCCAATTAGTGCTTTATAACTAATTCGAGCTTTTTACGAAGAGTATAAATTTCCTTGATGTTCAAAGTTTAATGGCGACTGACATTGAAATTCCGTACAATCTACAATAACTCTAATATTTTTTAAAAATTTTAAAGTTTTAAGTAAAGTTTCAGAAAGTTTTTTCTTTGATGGAAACATAAACGGCTTTAAATTGCATGTAAATTGGTCGTATAAGTATTGTATCCAATATTTAATCGTTTTAGAAACTAGAGCTGTAGAAATTTCAAACCTGTAAGCTAAATCTTCAACTAAAGTACCAACGCGTAACCGGATAAGTACTAGAATCAATTGCTGTATTGATGTCAATTTTTGATGACTATTGTTACTTTTCTTCTGCTGATCAACTTCATTTAACACATTGTTATATTCCGGATTAACAAAATTGTATAAAATTACAATTTCTTGATACTCCAAGCTTGAATAAAATTTACATTTTTTAATATTATTTTTGGATAGACTCTTCAAATTTATCCATTGCTGAACTTTGACGTAGATTAACTTGAGTCCTTTTACTAGTCAGTTTTTTAATATCAGTTTGAACGCCTTGGTTGCATGTGATATTTGGCAATGTTTCATCTTCTGCAGGAATTTCTACTAATGTTAAAATCTCACTGTTTTCACCGGCATCAGTAAATCTTGAAAATTCAAAATTTTTATTTGGCAAGTTTAATTCTGGTGTAGAAATGAAATTTTGATTCAATGAAAATGCTGTTGTTTGACCATTTTGTCTTTCATCAATAAGGACAATGTGGACAGTTGTACAATCTATGTTTTTTGCAGGATGGTTTTAATTTTCAATGCCTTGATTCCTTTCCTAAAACATTATAATAATTTAATTTTAGGTTTGGAGCAAAGGTTATCTTTTTTTTTGACAATTCTATAATTTATCGTAAAAGAAATTATTTTAAATAATCCACTTACGTCATTAATTTGTTTATATTTCTCGGCCAAAGAAGTCCTTGTCACTTTTACCTGCGAAAAAAATTGATTACTTGAGGTTATAGAATGAGCTGTCACATTAACAATTAAATAGATTTAAATTACATTGTTATTTAGTTTATTTACACAACTGACGGGATCAGGATATTCTGTTGTTGGACTGCTTTCTCCTTCAAAATGAAGTAACAAATGTATGTGTCTTTATTTATATGATCAATTACTTCGAATCAACCATCACCTCGTCCACATCTTTTAACCCACAAATCACATTTAGCACATTTTGGACTAATTTTTATATTTCTTTTTTGTTGATTTGATAAGTTTTCGACGATATTCGAAACAAGGTTTCGGGAAACTAATAAAATAATATAAATACTCTAAGAATGATTTACTACGAGTATCACTCCGACAGAATCCATAACAACAACGTTTCTTCGCTCCTTTTCTTGCTGATAACACCATGTACATTGATTTTCTGCTTCACAGCATTATTTACATATTTAATAATTATTAATAATTGAATATTTTTGCTTATACACGTATAAAGTGCCCGAAAAACATGGCGGAACTTGAAGCATGCACACACAAAATTTTTAACTACTAACAGGTCTATTGTGTTACGAACATCTGATAATTAAGTAAGGAGAAGAAAAAAAATTTAGAAATGTCACTTGATACTGGTTTTAATATTTTAAAAGCTAGAATATTAAAAAAACGAAGGCGATTAAAAGAAAGTAATGTTTGAGTGAGTATTATTTTCGTATATTATTTCTCCATTTTTAAATGTCGTCTTCTTTTCATCTATAATTATTTATTTCTATTTAGAAATAAGATAAGAAATACTTTAGAAAAGGAAAATTGGAGCTTTTGTACAAAACAAAAAATAATGAGACTAATGATAATAATGTCAATATTGTTACATTCGATGTGGGTAAACAATAACAGGAATCTGTTATTATTATATAAGAAATTAGAAAAAGAAGCATTTAGAAGATTAAAAAAATATAAGATTTATGAACTAAAAGTAAATAAATTAATAAAGCGTTATATCGACTAACTTAAGTAGTTATTAAAATGTACAAAATAATAAAATAATATTATTTGTTTAAAAGGCTTTAGGAATGATTTCTAAAAAGCTATAACCACAAGACCAAAATGTTAAAGGAAATGTCAATGTACCCAAAGAAGGTATCACTTACAAATATATATAAAAAATGTCTAAAAAATGTTTAAAAAATTAATCAAACTATGACAGAAACTTTAATATAAATATTAGTTTCCAATTTTTCCAATTCTTAGTATAAGTATGGGGTAATTAATTAAATAGTAGAACACCTGCAGAAAAAATGAATATGCAAAATGGCTAGTGTTACTTATACTCAAACAAGGGAATATTTAAAACCATTTCTAAGGAAGTTACAAAATAAATCACTTCCTGAAGGCATAATTGATAGTTAAACTGAAATTGTATAACATTTATTTGAACGTAATTATATTTTGATATGTATTACATTTATGAAATAGATTATTTATTATATATATATGTGTTTATAACTTATTGTTGGTTAACAAATATTTTATATTTTAGACTAGTGATGTATATTTACAAATGAAGATAGAAAATTCTACTTGGCCTATTGGTATAACTATGATTGATATTCATACTGGTAAAGAAAAAGTTTTTCAAAAATGTAGCACATATAATGAACAATAAAAAACAAAGAAAATATATTCAAGGTATAAAAAGATTAATGTATCTTATTAGCGAGGATAGTATCGTATGCGGACGAGATAATGGGGGATCACCAAAGCGGTTTTAGGAGAAATAGATCGATTACAGATCAGATCTTTATTATTCGGCATATCTTGAAAAAAAAATGAGAATTTAATCTTGTTGCTGTAAAGGCGCTTAAAAAAAAAACTCAGGATATACAGGACAATCTTCCTACTGGTAGTCCTTTATGGTAGCGAAACGTGGTCACTTACGTTGCGGGACAAAAAGGAATTTCGGGTTTTCGAAATTAAGTTCTTCGTAAAATCTTCAATGCAAAACGCAATGAGGAAAACGAATGGAGAAAACTCCATTACGTAGAAGACACCGATTGTAAAACCGGACATTATTAACGTTATAAAATCACGCCGATTAAGATGGGCTGATCATGTGGCGTGCATAGGGGAAGTTCGAACGGCGCATAAAATACTGGTCGGTATACCAAACGGGAAAAGACCACTAGGTAGACCGAGACATAGATGGGAGGACATTAGAAGGAATCTTAAAGAAATAGGCTACGAAGACCGCGAATGAGGGGGTCGCGCTCAGGGACAGGAACACTGGATTTGATATTTGCAGCAATGAACTTTCGAGTTCCTAATGCCAATTAATAATAATAATAATAATAATAATAATAATAATAATAATAATAATAATAATAATAATAATAATAATAATAATAATAATAATAANTAATAATAATAATAATAATAATAATAATAATAATAATAATAATAATAATAATAATAATAATAATAATAATAATAATAAAAAGATTAATGACTAAATACCAAAAATATTATCTAACAATACATACAATCTTAATAAACATTTAAACTTTATTAATATTGAAAACAAAATGAAATTTAAACTATTATTTTATGATAAACATGGAGAAAAATATTATTTACTTTTCATCTTACCTATTTAATTGTTTTTCTTATTTAATTTTATACCCTCTATATTGGATGTATTTATGTGATAAATAATAATTTAAGAAGAATTCTATAATCTAGATTTAATAACAGATTAATCTTTAAATGTTGCAGTCATTTCATTGGCTTTATTAACAGCAGCTTCAATAGCGTTCATCATAGATCCTCTGAGTATTATATGGAATGAATATTTATAAATTATTATAGAATTTATATATATTCTATAGTTCGTTAATAATATAATTTCGTTATGTACCTAACTTGACCACGTTCCATAGCATGAACTCCAGTAATAGTAGTTCCACCAGCAGAACAAACTTCATCTTTCAATTGACCTGGATGTCGTTCTGTTTCTAATACCATTTTACCAGCTCCTACAAGTACTTGAGCAGCAAATTTGGTTGCCATTGCTCTCGGTACTCCCATTTTCACAGCACCATCTGCCATAGCTTCTATAATGAGATACGCCTGAAAATGTAATCTTATGAATCAACCATTAATACATTTTTCTACCATTTACATACATAAGCAGGGCCAGAGCCTGATAAACCACTAATTGCATTTATCAGAGATTCGGGGACATTCTGGCTAATACCGATGAATGAAAATAATGTGCCTATTAATCTAATATCTTCCTCCAGTGCGTTTTTACCACAGTAAACTAAAATTTATTAAATACATCAATTCATTGTAGCTAAAGTTATGTATATAATAAAACATTTTTAAAGACCGACATACCTGTGATACCTTCTCCAATCATCATAGGCGTATTTGGCATACATCTGATAATTCTAGGGTGTGTATCAATTGCAACGAGTTTCTAGAAAAATACCAATGAAAAATTCAAAATAAAATAAGAAAAAAAATAGAAAAATTAAATTTTATTATATCTTACTTCTGCTAAAGTATCTAACGAAATTCCAGCAAGTACGGACACGTATAATTTATTGTGACTTTTTGTTTTAAGCGTTTTTGCAACTCCATTAAGAGCTTCATCGAGCATATGTGGTTTAACTGCTAAAAATACAATATCACTGTTTTTAACAACTTCTCCGTTGTTAAACGTATTATGAGTTCCAAGTTCTTTCCAAGCGGTAAGTGTTTTTTCGGTGCGACTGGACACCCAAACATTCTTAGGATCTAAAATATCTATAAAAAAGTTTTCATTTACAATAATAAATTATTAAAATATACATATATATTTTATTTTTATGTATAAATATATATTTATTTATAAGACCTTTTGATATAAGACCTGCTCCAATAGCACTTGCCATATTACCACCTCCAATAAATCCAAGTTTAAGAGATTTAAAATTATGTTCATCCATAGTTAATGTTATATTTAATATTTAAATTAACGTTATTTTTTTTTTTAAATCTTTTGAAAAGAACTCATACACTTGTCCAACGTATTCCAGCAATTAATGTTTACATAAACATATTATGTGTGACATTTAAATTTTCCTTATTATGATTATTCTAATTGTTTTGGTAATGTCAATCCATAGACTTAGTCTATATGGACTGCGCAAGCTTTATACCTTCCTGTGTGGAACTAGTGAGAACAGAACTGACATGAAAGAGAGAGAAAATAAAAGGTTCTTTTATCTCTCTCTTATTGCACACTCGTGTTGACGTAGAAGAGATTATAGTCAATAGTGTACAAGTGATAAGTAATGAAAATTTTCTAGGTAAGCAGATATAGAACATAGCCTCTCTGTTTCTCTCAATTTTGCTGCCATCACTTTCAAAACGGTATACCGAGACGTTTCTTAAGGAACTCACATGTTTATACATTAATACTGTATTTTTTCATAGTTTGTACTGTCATCGCGTTAAGTTCCTACTATTGCCCACTGGTGATCACGGTAGTAACTAAGATGAATCTGGTTTGTAAAAAAATAAACTTGTGTGCTTCTGTATTTTTTATCTAGATGATTTAATTCGACACGTCGATAATATCACTATCATAAAATAGTTACTAATACATACATCGCAATAAATATATCTTACATAATATTAGCCCTTTTGATAATGATTGCGTCATTTATATTACGATTGGTATGTTAATTAAAATAATAAATTATTAGATTAGCTATTGTGAAAAAGTTTTCAATGACATTTTGCAACGGAAAATTTTTCGCTTTGGTGAATTTTCATGTATATTATTATTCTGTCCTACTCCCTATTATCTTGTGGCGTCTCGCACCAGCGCAGTGCTGACACCTCTCGGCCAACAGCGCGCAGCTGTAGCAGCGCGCGCAGGAAACGTGCTGACATATCTCGGCCGACAGCACTAACTTACGCAAGCACCTCGTATCGCGGTTCCACAGGGACATCCGATTGGCCTGACCACGTCCTTTTGGCTGGCCAGAGCGGAAGAGTGACCACTGCGACCGTTGCTCTCCCCACTTCCGGATGCCTGGATCGCCGTAGCGGTACACACGCAGGAAGAAACACTTCACTTCTGCTTCGTCCATCGCACCGTCCGGTCGCATTCTTCTCATCGCGCTCTCGTGT